TGGATCGAGTTGTTCAAACTCCTTGGTTAAACCCACAACCTAAAGACATCGTTAGTGATCGGGATCCTCGATTTACTGGCATATTTTGGACCGAGTAGTTCAAACGTCTTGGTTCAACTTGGAGCATGAGTTCTAGTTTTCATCCACAATCTAACGGACAGACGGATCACTTGAATTCTATGCTGAAAGAATATCTTCAGCACTTTATCTTTATTTCACGGAAAAATTGGGAGAAAATTTTGGTTGCGACTCATATTTGCTTCAATGCCTTAAAAGACATCTTCTACCAATAAGAGTCCTTTTGAGATTATGACTTGCCAGTAATCATTACTTCCTCATACTATGGATATCGATCAAAGTACCAAGTTTCCTCATGTGAAAACTTATCTCAAGAGTCAAGAGTGGAAATAAAATATTGAAATTCCTTGGAGTTATATTAAGAAAGTTCAAAAACAGTATAAAAAGTTTGCAGATTTAAAGCGTCTTTTCCTTAAATTTAATGTTGGAAGAATGGTAATGGTCAAACTTTCTGACATAAACTATTATAAATCGATGAGAGAGAAGACTCAAGATTGGTGCCAAAATATATTAGACCATTACCGATCATGAAGATGATTGAAAAAATTGCATACAGAGTTGTCTTTCATGTGGCAAAATTTACAAGGTCTTTTATGTTGGTGTACTCAAGCCATATTTTGTAGACAAGGAGGACGCATCAAGAAATGAGCCAAAGTGACCTGTGTTTGAACGGAAAAATTCCGACAAGAAAGTTGCTGAAGATATTCTAGACCATCGAACTACTCGAGCTTCTAGGAAATATCATCAAGAATACTTGGTTAAATGGTGTGGATACAGCAGCGAGGAGAATACTTGAGAAAGAAAAAAAGACATTGGAGCATTGAAACCATTAATTGAAGCATATCATACATTGATGATATCGAGAACGTCACTAAAACAAATGAGGGAGATTGTCAAGGACCGCAGCTTTGCTTAGCCCCTTGACCCAATCGCTACCGTAATTTGCCCAATTTCAGCCGCACATTATAAATATTAGTTCAGTTTAAGTTGTAATTTTCTTTCCATTATAATAGTTTATTTCAATTGTAAAATATCTATGATATTTGTAAACGTTTAGTATGATTCCTCATCATTTAAACGTCTACTCCTAACACTTAAGTTTTTGTTCATCAAGCTATTATATGCGGTATTAGTCATTCAAAAATCTTTCAGTACTGGTGTTCGCCCCCTGTACCAACCATTGTAATTTTCTGCTTTCATCAATTGTAATTTTTCACTTTCATCATTCCATGATCAATTTACTTTCAATGTATCTAAATTCTCTATTTCAAGCTTTCTACAAATTGTAATCGAATTTTCTTTCTTTTAGAAACGATCGAGAAAAGGCAAAATGTAGTCTAGTGGAGCAGATTACTGCGGCATAGTACCCTTTTCTGTGCTAAAAGAACAGCACCCCATGAAAACTGGGATGGGGACAAGGACAAGGACAAGGACTAGGGTCCTCACCCCATTGCCATTCCTAGTCCAAAATCATGCTTTTGTTTCTAGCATAAAATGTGAGTATTTTGCTTCATTGAAACAATCTTGAGTCATAAATGAGCATGCAACTTTTAAAATTCAATATGAAAAATCCTATGATGACCAGCTATTCGATCACCCTAAAAAACTAAATAAAAAAGATTGAGAAATGTAGTCATTCATAGCACTATTGAAGGATTAATTGGAAACGTAAGGATAAGTAATATTTTTTAGACTATCATTGGACAAATTATCTTCTTTAGATTTAGTTGAAAACTCTTAAATGTGCAATTTCTAGTCTGAAAATTGTTCACCACAAAATCTCTAGAACCCTGCTATCAATAGATCTCCAATCACTCCTCTGCGAACATGTATATTACTTGCACACTTCGACAAAAATTGTTAGCGCTAAGATAACAAAGCAAAACGAAAAAAGGTTGGCAACCATTGGCACTCCAATGGTCAGGTCAGCTATTGTTACGAAGTAATATGGAGGATTAGGTGTGGAAGAACAAGCAAGTAAGTGGAGATTTGACTTGGATTTAAAGGAAATCACATCTTTATCTTCCCATGTATGTCTGTATTTATAGAAGAAGAAATCCTGTGGAGTAAAATACGAGGCATGTATCCCTAATTCACATCTCATGTTCTCTTACATCTGCATGTCTCGCAATTTAGTTACGTAGGTCTTATTTCTTGAGTTTGTTTCCGCACGCAACTAGGTTTCCTTGTAGAGATTGTGTTATAAAAGGCTTTTCTTGATTCCTATGATTATGTGCTCATTATTAAAATTCAACTTAAGTATCTTATAAGGCTTATATTTTTGTTTGAATTATGAGAGATGCGATAGAATATTGTGAGGAATAAAATGATAGATGCCCTTCCAAAGCGGAATATACATAATAAGTTAACGACTTGAATACAAAGGCTCATGTCGTTACATTTGAGATATGTTCTCTAGCAACAGGATGTTGACACAACTTTCTGAATATGTCTAAGAACTTACTAAACTGTTCTTCAATCTTCTACTTTTGCAATCTTAGAGAAAAAAGGGATAGGGGGTACATATGCTTTGACAATAATGGTAACCTTGTGGAATGTCTGACTTTTGATATGAAATTAATTTTATTGACTGTTCAGATTGATCCATGTGCTCCTCATTAGTAGTGATACATTTTCATTCAATGCCACTTGTCTTTTTATTGTTGTTGTCGAGAGTTGAGCACAGTAATTGCTTGAACAATTTTCCCTTCTAACCTTGTTCGAAACCTTTGAGAAAATGGAATACGAGGTACATGTACTTAGGTTGGGAGATGGTTCTTTCTAAGGTAGGTCCTCAATGATTTCATCCTCCAAACACTTGTAACTACTCGCCATAACTTTCTATTTGGGATTTGTCTTAGTGTCACTTGGTAGGGTACCTGGCTGTCTTTATAAATGTTCTCGGCTATTTACCCCTTCTGATTTTCCAAATTTTTATTGCAACCACTTGAATATGAATGTTTTCCCCATCTCATCCCTCAGATTTTGGATATTTATCTCAATCTTTCTTATGAATTGAGAAACTTCTACCATTGTGTCCAATGCTTCTTCCCATGAAGGTTTCTATTCAGGTTGATGAAAACCAATGGTGCATTCTGATATAGTACATTGTAAGAAAGCTATGTACACCTAAGCAAAGTTTGGATACTTTTTTCAACTCCGATTGTATGTGTTAGAGTGAAGATTGTTCTATCGTCTTTGGTAGTTCTACATAAAATTTACCTCCCCATTGGATTGGTAAATGGACATCCCACATTACATTCTACACTTTCATGATCACCTCTACAGTGATTACAAATCAGCCTAATTTCTTGAAGCGCATTCATTGATTATTTGACATAACATCAACCTTTTTAACTAATACTGCTAGCTATGCTAAAATTGCTGTCACCATTTCAACCTCGTGCATCCTACATCTCTCTTTCCACCTAATCTTTCAGTTGGCTAATGCACTAGTGGCATCCAAATATTTCAACTATATCTTTCACTATTATTACATTTTTTTATGTTATGGCTATATGAAGATGATTCAAAGGAATGCTCAATATTACACGTGCATATTATTTTGCAATTATTCATTTTTTTGTATATAATTGATTTTTTTTATTGCTTTGGTCCTAATTTAATTTAAGAATAATATGATTTCTTTCTTCAAGAGCGTAGTTTCTTGTTTTTGTTGGGAAAAACTCTTAAGGTTCGTTTGATTGTAAAAATGAAATTTGGGTGGAAAGAAAACGAATTCTAGGGAATTGAATTGCCTAGAATTTATTTTACTAGGAATTGTCAATTTATTGTGTTTGATTGGTATACTTTTCCACATGGAAAATAGATTTTCCATCTGTTGGTGTTTAATTGGCTTTGTTTTCCATGGAATTTTTTTTCCAACTATTGGTGTTTGATAGTTATTTGTAAGAATTTTCTTAATATTAAAGTAACCGGAAACTAATGCAAAAGAAAACGAAAGAATGATTTAAAATTGAATAGTGTAAAGAAAAATAATGTATTTTGCGATAAGAACTATTTTGGGAATAGAAAATTCAAAAACAATATTTTTCTCCCTTGAAAGCTACATATTTTTAGGTGGACTAATGTTTTCCACATACATAATTGACAAAAGACAACCACACCATATGTTACAAAACACTGCACTCTAGTTTTTACGTGTGTGCGTTACAAAAAACATTCAATGCACTACTTATTTGGATTAAGTTTTCCAAATGGGTTACAAGTTAATANAAAAAACATTCAATGTACTACTTATTTGGATTAAGTTTTCCAAATGGGTTACAAGTTAATACATACTAACACCATAAGTCATGTGCAATCTATGGTAGTGGAGACGGATCACGACCAAGCTTGTCAAACACCAAAGCATGTATTTTGTACTCGTCAAGTTCAAAATACCTTAGCCAAACCATCATCGGATCGAAAGGCTTTCATGACTTGCATGATGTCGTCCATGTCTAGGTTCATGGCCTCTAGCTTCTCTATAATTAACTGTCAGTTGACATGATTTAGTGTATCTAGCGTAGCTTGCATTTCCATAGCTTGAGCAATTTTGTAGATGAATTGGCAATCTTCGATAGGGTGATAGTATCCTCATCTACTGGTTGTGCACGAGAACGCTTGGCTTTGTTGGTTCCTTCTTCGGTGGTACGCTTACGACCATGAACTGGGCTAGGATCCATCTCCACATTTTCCATATCTACCTCGTTCACACTTTCATCAGTTACTACATTAAAGAGATAACAACTTATTAGAAGTTTATACATGAATACAATCAAAGTATTGTACCGTAAAATATATTGAATACCATTTATTGGGGAGAAATGGTCGAAGCCAAACACTACTAGATCTCCGGTGGCAACATCATTTCTAAAGATAGTCTCCATCTCATCATATATTAGACAAAGTTTGGTCATCTACTTCCCAAATTCTGGCTTTCCCTGCAAAATAACATTGTGAGTGTATTGGAACTGTCTCAAAATATCTATTTTCCCAATAGCTATTAGTAGCAATGCCCAAAATCCATCCTAATACATACCTTAATAAAATTGTCCCAAGCAATGGCATCAGCTACAATGCGTCTAGTTTCGGTATCCAACCCAAAATCGCTCATATTTAGCAACTGGTGAACTTCAGCATGCTCTTTTTTAAGAGTTTGTATCCTTACCCTTACATTATTATCTGAGACTATGATCTCGCACCCATTGAGAACCCTGTCAATTGCCTTAGATACTTGAAATGAAGTAAAACCATTATCACTTCGTTTGTGCCCAGCCAACACTTGTTCAACACGTGAAGTGATCATAAAACCATCCATCTCATCACTCCAACTTACGTGACGAGTCCTAGCATTAGGCTTCACTTGCGATCTACCAAAATTAATGTAATGCCCGTCCAAAGGGGTGGTCGGTCTGGGAACATGAAAAGGGCTCGTAGAGCTTCATCGATTTTGTGCCATCAAGCTGTCACTTGAAAATAGAAAAATGTCAATATTAGCATAACTAGAAGGAACGACATTATTTCTTGAAAACAATCTAACAACGATATAAACCAGGTAAAGAGATTTAAAACTATATCATAGATTCAAATTTAGATAGCTTTGGAAATAAGAACACAGTATAAGAGAACAAGGATCGAAGTCCATGTTATAACATGACCAAGTATAGAAGCAATCTTAGTACGAGACAAGAACACTAGCAAGTTTATTCCCAAACATTATAAGGAAACACAAATAATGAAATATACAACATAGTAAATTCAATCAAAATCAATTCCTACATCATGACTTGGATGGTAAGCGGCCCACATGTCATCAGCCATTTTATCCCTATTACTAGACCATGCAACTTCTGATGTGAAAGATATATGAGCATTTGGTGTGTCATCTTCGGGTCCATCAAAATGTCGAGGGTTAACCTCATCACTGCTACTATAATGTCCTCGTCGCAAAGATCCTCTGCGTCATAAATCCTTAAGAAGTTGTGAATGACACAACAAGCAAACACAATCCTTGCTTATGTCTCAATGTCGTGGTATGGTTGATACCTCATATATGAGAATCTTTTTTTAAGTAGACCGATAATCTTCTCCACAACATTTCGTAAACATGAAATCTTGCTTTCAGGCCGATGTCCCTCAATGTCTCTATGATGGTACCAAGTCCGGTAGTAGGGTCCTAGAAATCTCGGAACTAATGGAAATTCGGCATCGGTAAGATAATATTTACCTATTCTACACATGGTTGTTAAGTTGTCGTTCTTTATTGAAAGATGTGAAAGTCAAATTATCGAACAAAAAGTAGATCTTAGCAACAGGAATTGTTAGCCTATGCACTTATCGTAGAGTTGCACTCTTTAAAAACTGACCGTCGTGGGCGAATCTCTCCCAACCGGCAAGCACATACGTAACTTCTGAGTTATCATTTGCTTCCTATTGCGATACCTCACTTGTTTCTCTACGAGGACATTCACAGAAATGTGAGTACCATCGATTGCCCCAATATAATCCTAATACGAAAACAAAAAAGTTTGGTTACCGATGGAATAGTGATTGTGAAGGCAAAATAAACGAAGTTAAATATTACCATCTGACATGAAAATATTGGAACCATGGCTTCTCCTTATCCTTCTCGTATGGTGAGTTATGAATAGTGGCATTGTTCACAACTTCTCTATACAATCCAAGGCAAGCCTGTAAAACTCTATGGAAGTAATAACTCACTGTTTGACCAGATCTAAATAACGTAAAACTTCCAGTTCGATTACAATGGTCATCCCCAATAGTGTTGAGAAATATAGCCACTTGTTCTTCTACTTTGACAGATCTATTGTCAACTAAACCATATGTTTGTAAACTAGCACATAAACTTTGAAACGGAGCTATCTTCATCCTTAGTAAATCATGACAAATTCTATCACTCGTACTAAACATCCGTCTAAGTGTCATTTCTCTTTCAAAATCCCAATTTCTATGTGGGGGCACTAGAGAGTTGTCGATTACGACGGCTGATGGTGTTATATATTATAATTGTTTGTATGACCATAGTCCAAAATAGACCCAATTGTTGTCGTGGCAGCAATGTTGGTTCCTTGTGGTAGCCATGGTACTTAGAACAATGTTTAAAAAGTGTCAATATGATGTAAATTATTGTTGACAATGAACAAAATATGAAAACGTATATGGTCAATGCGAAAATACAGGTGAAAATGAGCTAACCCACCTCTAATTATCAACTCAAATGCCTGTTCATTGAAATACTTGGCTTCAGGGCTAAGTTTTGTTGTGGCTCAAACATTGGCTAGATTGCCAAGTCCTGTTGTAAGTCAAACAACTGGCCATACTGTTACTATTCCGGTTAATCATGGTGAAAAACTAGAGAAATTCAATGGCTTGAATTTCAAGAGGTGGCAGCAGAAAATGTTGTTTTATCTGACCATCTTGAATCTTGTGAGATTCTTGACTGAAAGTACTCCAAAACTCCAAGAGGTAAGGGAGATGTTCAAGCTGTTAGTGTGCTTGATGCGTGGAAACATTCGAATTTTTTGTGCCAAAACTACATCATGAACAGTTTAACAGATTCGCTATACAATGTGTATAGTACTATGAAAACTGCTGAAGAGCCGTGGGAGTCATTGGACCGAAAATATAAGACTAAGGATGCCGAGACCAAAAAGTTCATTTTTGGCCGGTTCTTGGATTATAAGATGGTGGACTCCAAAATAGTAATCAGTCAAGTGCATGAACTCCAAGTGATTCTTCACGAAATTCATGCCGAAGGGATGATTTTGAGTGAAACTTTCCAAGTAGTAGCAATTATTCAAAAATTGCCTCCCACATGGAAAGATTTCAAGAATTATCTGAAGCGCAAACGAAAGGAAATGAACGTCGAAGAACTAATTGTTAGACTTCGAATTGAAGAAGACAACAAGAGTTCCGAGAAGAAGTTATTCAATCCTGGTGTTACTAAAGCTAATGTTGTGGAGCATGGTCAAAGTAGTAAGACCTACAAAAATAAGCTTGGGTCATCCAGTGGCAAAGGGACCAAGCTAGGACTAAAGGTGGAATTTCTAAAATGAAGTATCAAGGAAAAATGCTTCAATTGTGAGAAAGTGGGTCACAAATCTTCAGAGTGCAGATTGCCAAAGGAGCAAATGTAGTAGACTACATTGCACGTGATGTGTAGGAGATGAATCTCACAGCCGTCATTTCTGAAATGAACATGGTGAGTTCTGATTACGCCCAAAGAATAACGCGGTAGTTATAGTATAGTTTTGGGGTGTCGTATCCACAGGGAGATGGAAAATGCTTAAGGGTTCCAAAAATGGATGAGTTATCGTCTTAAATTTGTAGTAAATTCAAGGTTGAATTAGCAATGTTAAAATCAATGATTTGAAGTAGTGTAGCATCGGAATTCCCCAGTTGGATCGAATCATTCGCATCAATTATTTAGTTTTATAACTCAATTAGAGACTAAGATATGACATTCCAAATCAATTTAATTCAGAAGTAGTTCTAAAATCTAGACTTCACGTGACGCATTCGCACAGTTTTATTGAAATTAGATTACAAGATTAAATATATACTTCAAGCACAAAGTAGTAATTGAATCATACCAATAAAATAATTAAGTTTAAAATTCAATAATTAGTTCAATTCGTTGATAGAAAAAGTCTGACTGTGATCAATTTGGTAAAATTTAGACCAATCTCAACATAGGTTCATGAAATTTAAACTTACCAAATATTTTGATTAAACAATGGAAAAACCGTGATTGAATTCATGAAAAATCTAATAAGAATTAAATAAATTTTAATTTAAATTTATAAGAATGAAAGTCTAAATTCTAAAAGTATTCAACAAATAAAGACGAGATTACATGAATAAAGGATGTAAAATTACCGAATCCAATGAGTTCCTTCGTAGCTTCACCAAGGGTTTTAGTTCCTCATGGAGATTTTTGAGCCAAGAGGAGAAGAATGATGAATAATAAAGAATTCAGGCATTCTAGGGTATTTTGGAGTGTATTTAAGGTTGAAAAGTCGAGAAAGAAGATGTTTCCACAATAGTTTGGCGCAAAATTAGGAAACTGGAAATCATGACTCAAAAATACTCTATGTGACCACAATTATACGACAGTATAGTTATAGGTGTTGTGATCGCATAGAAGGCTTAAATTGCCCACTGAAAGTCGCTGAAGGGTTCTATGCGACCGCATAGAAATAACCCCATGCGACCGCATAGGTTTAGAGCTTTTCCACCAGACAATTTTTAGTATTTTCATCATAACGTTCTCTTTTGATATTCGATTGAGATGATTCAAGATGATTTAGAAAGTTAACTCAAAGGGATACAAATTTTTTTCAGATACTATCTTCGAATTAGATCGTTTTCCATGTCAAAAATGGTCTCAATATAAGGCTGAAAATCGATGCAAAACTTTTCAGCTTAAAAGTCGATATGTGATAATGTATTGGCTATATTTCATCCCTTTAACTTATTTCTTCATCCAAGTGACCTCTAATACTCTCGAGTCTTCATCATAAGGTTAGAAACAAGTTTATAGTATGTTCTCTTTAGTCCCTAAACTTTTACTTTCTTCTATTTTGGTCCTTTCTCGCCATTTTCTTCTAATTCCCATCGTTTTCATCTATTTGCAACCTAAATCAAAATGTAAGTGTACTTAGAACATTTGAGCATCAATTAATCATATAAATGCAAGTATTAATGAATGAAAAAGTAACAAATGTGCTATTATCAAGTTCTATCCCAAAAGAGTGGTTGATTGACACCAGAGCTACGAGACATATGTGTTCTGATAAAGAACTGTCTAATGCTTTCAAAGTAATTGAGAGTGGAGAGAAGTAGTTTATGAAAAATTTAGCAACTTCCAAATCAAGGGTCAAGGAAAGGTGGTTCTAAAAATGATTTCGGGAAAAGAGCTGACTCTTAACACTGTACTACATGTGCTGAAAATCTACAAGAACCTTGTGTCCTGGTCGCTTTTGAATAAGCATGGTTTCCGTATTATATTTGAGTCAGCCAAAGTCATTTTGTCAAAAAGTGGAATGTTTGTCGGAAAAGGCTATGTTTCTAATGGAATGTTTAAACT